TAAGTTGGTTGTAAGTGATAACATTTATTTGTTACTTATCTATTTATAACTGTCTCATCAATCAGAAACTTTGCAAATTGCAATTTATATGGCAGTGTAATATAATAATATAGTACGATCTAATAGTGGAGTCGAAAGGTGACGACAGTTTATCTTTTAATGATAAATTCAACCTATAATTTATATAATTTATAATGAAGAATCAGACTCAGTTTGCACTTGTAAAATTAAAATTATATTCCACACTATACTTATTAATATTATAAATTTGATTGTAGCTATGTCTGTTACCTTAAACCGTTGAACAAATTTTTATAAAATTTGGCAAAGACATAGTTACAACCTGGCTTAGATCGGACCCTTGAATCTCGCCCGCTTATTACGCAAGCAAAGCCGTGGGTATAAACTAGTTACACATAATTATAAAAATATATTCGTATGATATAAATTCTACTTATTGTTCATCCTATATACATACGTATAAGCATATACAGAAATATACAGAAATAAAATTCTTACAAAAATAAGCTGGAAATTTTCGGTCTTCTGAGGTTAGATCAACTCCAAATATTAAGTTTAAACATAGTGCCGAGGTGTTTGCATTTTCAATGTTGTGGGGATCAATTTTTGGATGAGGAAAATAATTGTGTTTTATTCAATGAACTTATTTATATATTTATATTATAATAGTATTATAAATAATATTTTGAATCTCACTTCAATGCTTATGATATTTTTTAAGTAATTTATTTGACATGATAAGTTAAAATATTTGTTTAGCTTTTTATCCCTTACACAACACTTTACTAAAATTTAACTAAAATAAAACGCATACATTGGTTAAAGCCCAATTATTTGCCTCGTCCAAAAATTGAACCAGTAACCATCAAGCAAACACCTCGGCACTCTGTTCAAACTTAATACTTGAACTTAATCTTACTTCAAATGACCAAAAATTTCCAGCGTATTTTTGTAAGCCTTTTATTTCTTAAAATATTAACATCCATTATTCAAGTTTGTCTTTTAAGGTTTGAATTTCATCTAGTAAATCTCAGCTTGTGTTTCACATTGAGTGCCTAGAAAAACCAACATAAAAATCTGCTTATGTCCCCTTCTTAATCCTATTAAGAGATTTTAAACAGACGTAACCAGTCTTGCTGTAAAGTAAAAAATATGTACATTTTCGAACTATTTCTGTTAACGTTTTCTTTTTTGGTAGCAACGTAGGCCGTGGGTACATAAACTGTGTTCCGTACCTAAATAATATATAACGTAATATCGTACATAAATTTTCATATGTGAGGATAGCTATATTATAATTATGTATTATCTAAATAACACTGTAATGATGGCCTTCTTAGGTTTACGCGAATATTAGACATTCCACATAAAACTATATTGGTGGTCTAGTGGCTAACATCTACGGCAGCAGATCTGCAGGTCCTGGGTTCGAGTCCCGGGTCGGGCCTAGTTCAATTATGGTGTATTTCTGTCAGGAATTTCTCAGTAACAGCCTAGAGTTGAGAAGTTGACGGTGTTTTACACCCGTGCATTGGAAAGCACGTAAAGCCGTCGGTCCATGCACCTTAACTCTCACCGGTTATGTCGAAGTATTGTTCCATCGAACTTTGAAACTGGCAGGAATAGAGAGTGCACTTGTGTCTGCACGTACACTTGTGCACTATAATATCTCCTGCGCATCTGACGTCTCAGTGAGATTGGTCGCCGTGACCGAAGTGGGTCAGTAGGACATTATTTTTACAATCCATACCGTAATTAGTAAATACGTCTTGTAACAATTATATAATAACTTCTAAAGTAAATCCTTAGACTCTCCCGTGACTAAGCACTAAGCCAAAAAACAAAGTAACTCTGCGAAAAAACAGTTTTATTGAAAATAAAATATGATAATAATGTCCAATTTTTATATTAGATACTTTTTTTAATATATTAAGTTAGAATATTTTATTTAATGAAATTTTTGACTTCTATTGTATAGTACTATAGCAATATTGATAAATGTCAACAGATCGGACAGGCTTCCATACATTATTGTAAAACTGACATTTATATCGAAAATTTAAACACGGGCAAAGTCATGATACTATAGTTCATAATAAATGGTAAAGATATCGCACTAATGGAGAAAAAATATACATTTTTTTATGTTGGGACATTCTAATAAATTAATATGTTGGGACATTAATACACAGCACCATCTAGTTCCATGGTAAGCTACGAGGCTTGTGTTATGGATACCAGATAGTTGATACACTACACATATATAACTGTAAATACATACATATTATATATATAAACACCCATGACTGGAGAACAATCATTCATGCTCATCACACAAATGAATGCCCCCAGCGGGACTCGAACCCGCGAACGCTGGCACAGCAAAGTGTAGTCTAAATATACTAACAATAAATGAGTAAATCTGTGACTATCTGCTTTAAGATACGACCATATTCTTTTCTTTCCTCCAACATTTCATTTTATATCTGGAATTCGTAAACTAGCAACATTTATTTTTCAAAATGAATTTTAAATGCCGTGTGTTCTCAACGCCCGACCCAAATGGCCAATTAAACTCGATGACGGCTCGGCCTCGAGTACTTTGTGACAGGTGATGTATAGTGTTGCCATTTAAACAACTTTCCCTACTTGACGCGCAACATTGTTCATAACCTACGTTTTAAATATTTTTCTTTTATTCTTACAAAACGTTGGCATTGTTAGCTTTTTTTTACTGCAGTTTTGTTTTATACTTTATATTACTGCCTTAATTTTAAATTAAAGTGTATATAAAAATATGTTTTTCTACAATTGGTCTTTTAAAATTTTGTTGACAAGAAGTATTTTGATATCGCGCAAAAAGTTTAATTTATTAAAAACAATTTAATTAAAATAAAATTTTTAAGTACTTTTCACATTAGTAAATATATGTTTTGTATGGTAACCCTGATCTGGCATAGCAATACATACTTCTATATACATACATAGGTAGGTATGTATATTCAATGGAAAATAAAAATGGCTTATTGGGTCAGTGTATATTCATCTAGATTAATTAGTGTCATAATAAATAAATAGTTTTACATCATATCATGTGATCTAAAACTATTTATTTATTATGACACTAATTAATCTTGTCTTCACTCAATAAAGTTAAAAAGAATGACGTTCGAGGAAAACGTACTCGAGTGTTGCAAAAATTCAATTAATTTATGATGAAACTTCAAACATTAAATTAAAAAAAATATATATTTCTTATGTACGTTATATTCAACAAAAATCGATTTGTACCGAAAAAAATATATAATTAAGGAACGGAACTGTCAAAAGTTGTCAAGAGATCATTGAAAAGGAAAATGGACACTCAACTTCTAATGGTCTTAAAAAAGTCCAATGAATAATTAAATAAAACCTTGCTAACCTAATGCCCGTGTCTTTAATCGTAATTTTTTTTAGCAATTTTATATTTTAATTTAATAGCTTTTCTTTACGAGTCTGCTCGCGTAGTTAACTTATGTGTATGCCGTAACGAATGTTAGAGAGCCTATAGGTAAATAGCCTTATAGTCTATGTATAAACTATATATAGTTTTACTCAATAAATAGGCTACAAAATGCAAAGAGAATTCTTAAAATCAATCTAACACTTTCAGAATTAAGCGTATTCAAACAAACTAAAAATACTGAGCTTTCTAACATTATTATAAATATACTTTATAATAATAAAATTACCTCCCTTGGCTACCTAGTTTAGCTCAAGAGCGAAAAAAGTAGTAATTAACAATAACATGTTATGTATCTATACATATAATAAAATTCTCAGTCAAATCTGTACATTAAATATTTTTTGGAAAATATTATTGAAATAATATTTATCGATACAGAGGCCGAATCTATAGTTTTTAGAATTTTTGTCTGCCGGTTTGTCTGTCAGTCTGTGGCCGAATCACGAGAAAACCACTAGACAGGTTTTGGTGAAATTTGGTATGATGATAGCTGGTTATCCGGGTCAACATATAGGGTACTTTTTACTGTGGGAAAATATCACATCTCTAAGTAATCTATACTAAACCTTAAAAATTATATAATGATTTACGGTTAGATTTACGCATTGCTAATAGAAAAGTAAGGCAGAATTTAGAGATCCTACTTACTATTCTCCGTTTATTATGAAAGGCTGACATGAGCTTTCGAAAGACATGTGAGTCCGCAAAATTACACTTGGTCAGCGCTGTGGACTATGTATGATCTATGGCCGCATTGAGGGGAGGTCAATGCCACAACAGTAGGGCATGAAAAAGACTGAATACAAATCTATCCATATTATAATATACAAATCACAACAAAGTTTCAATGGTGTGTAGAAATATTTAAGACAATCATCAAAACTCGGACCTGATGAAAATAGTGAATTTTTATACAATACTAGCATTGCTCGCGGCTGCGCCCGCGTTCAGATGACCAAAAACCAAATTCTTAGGTTTAGTTACATATAAGTAGGGGAAGCCCGGGAAAGACGCATATATTAAGGCATTGTGTAAATAAAACCACAATTTTAATAAACAATAGAATTCTTTGTACTTTTTTTTTGTACTATGATTAATAATCTTTACAAAATAATCATTTAAATTAAAAAACTTTGACGATTTCTATAATAATTATAAGCTTTTACAAGAAGTATAAATAATTCGTTTTGCTCGGAGGGGTCGGGCAAAACGGATACGCCCCAAGGGCAAAAAGGATATGTTGAATTAGTTCAGGACAGTCTTCGTATTCATCACAAAAGTAGCTGCCAACTCCTACATTAGAACTACAATCTTCATGTGCCCAACTTTTGTACTCATTACACTGAATCCAATCTTTCGCTGATGGTTCAGTGTATTTGTTAGCGCACACTAAACAGTAAAAATCTGGTTTCGGGTTTTTGTTTTGTTGCTACACTGAGGATCTTTTAGTTTTAGTTTTTCTGGGGCCTTCTCACTCAGAAATCTTGGTCTTCTTAATATTTGCCTTTTTAAACTTTAATGTTTGTTCAGCTTTGACGGGAGTAGACGTCAACACTTCTGATTCCTGCCTCTTGTATTTGCGGCCTGTTTTAGGAGCAGCCATAGTTTGTATAGATCTAATCTGAAATGGCGTAAGGCTCGCTGCAAGCGCTGGATGATTTTCTCCTTGTGAATGAGCTGATCCTTCTTCCAGTATATTGGAATCAGACAAAGGTGTAGTAGACCTTTAAGTCTCTATTTCTACAATGATAATGAACTGTGCGGAAGATTCAGCTACTGCGTACTTTGCGATAACAGACGCCATTTCAAGTAAAAACGGGTGCTGTTGCTGGAGAACCATTTAAAGCCAAGTCGGTCATAGTACTCGATGTGCCATTAAAAAGATCTTTGGTTATTGTCGACGGTGCATCATTTACAGGACCTTCAGTCTTACGACGGTGCGTCAGGAAGAAGACGGTCATAGTTCAAGGAGCGAGTATAATCTTCTTCTCTAAAAACATGTGGATCATACGGGCAGATTCCAGGTTTTTTAAATACATTAATTGCATTCTGAACCGAAGCACTTTTGGCGTATGCTACGCCAAATAGTTTTGCCATATCAGACTGGTTTACAGTACGGCCTGGGTGCATTCAAAGGTGAGATCTGTACAATATTAACATTAGTTGTCAAAAAACTGTTAAAATATTTCTCACTTAAAAAGGAGATAATTAAATAACTAAACGGGCAAAACGGATACCTATCCGTTTTGCCCATATCCGTTTTGCCCAACACGCTAATATTAGTAACAAGATTTGAAATGTTTTAGGAGGTAAACAAAAAGTAACGATTACAATTAATGATACTTAAATAAACGTGCAAAATAAATAAAAAAAAATATTCATAGGCAACTGATGACTAATACAAAAAGTTTGTGTTCAAATCTTCACAAAAATCGTAACAAAACAACGATAATCCTTTTTTTCTCCTTCCACAACAAATTCACTCGCGTATTGTTTTGGTCGAACTATCATGGCGTTACCGGCTATGTCACGACTTGAGAAAGTGTCATAGCGCTATCTATTATATATTTATGGAAAAATCAATTATTCTTCTTACCCACACTATGCTTCTTGCCCGGGCTTCCCCTACTCTTATATTGCAGTTTTTGTATTTTTTCTTAGAAATGAGATATCTTCTCGCCCGACCCGGATAACGAGCTATAACCATACCAAATTTCATCAAAATCCCTCCAGTGGTTTTTCTGTGATGTGGTAACAGACAGACAGACAGTAAGACAGACAAAAATTCTAAAAACTATAAATTCGGCCTCTGTATCGATAATAATGTTTATTTCAAGAAGATTTTCCAAAAAAATATTTAATGTACAGATTCGGCTTAGTTACAATTTTATTATACCTATGTATAGAATACAACTAGCGACACCCTCGCTACGCTTGGGTTCGTTCCTAAGTACATTTTTACGATTAGTATGGAATATACTATATATACTAGATAGAAAGACTATATTATATGATACATATAGTCTTCCTCAATAAACGGGCTACCTAATGCAAAGACTTTCTCAAATTGTATTAGTAGTTCCTGAGATTAGCGCGTTCAAACATACATATTTAAAGTACTAATGTTGGAGGTTTGAGTTTCATTTAAAGTAAATAATACGTATTTGAAGTTATCAAACTCTGCCCCTTTATAATATTAGTATAATTAATATAGATAATATGATTTTTATACAATTATTTAGAAGAAATTTATACACAATTTCAATAATTATTCATATAAGATTAACATTCTATTAAATTTCGCAAAGCATGTTGTGCTTTTAACTTAACATAAATAGATCTTGCCTTATCTGGATCATAGGGATATTGTTACTCTTCTCATAGACGTTACACTATTTTGAATCTTATGTACATGAAAATAAGTATTATATTCCTATCAATTAACAAGGCTCGTTTCAGACTTACGTAACAAGTCAATCATAAATGATCTCATTACCTTGTTAATTGGTGTCTATAGTTATTACATTATTAAAAGCATCGATCGCGGTTGATTTAAAAGGGCTTATTGAAGAAACTCTGGCATAAATTAACTGAATGGCGTAATATTTAAAGTACTAATGTTGGAGGTTTGAGTTTCACTTAAAGTAAATATGTATTTGAATTGATCAAACAAATATATCGTCATCTGAATGATATTAAAGGTAAGACTAAAGCAAAGCACTATACTCCTAACATGCTCTTTGCATTATAATAATATATACCTACGTACATGTATGTATGTCTAAGTTGCAATATATTTTACTGTAGGTTTCCACTTCGATTACTAGTTGAAGCGAATATTCATATCATAGATTTTAATATAGTAAAATAATACACAATTTCAAATTAAATTCACAAATGATATAGAGTTTCGAATTTTACAGTATCTAAAATAAGTGGAGCTATTGTTGTACTATCGGCTCGATATCTGTTGAAGTTTTCACAAAAAAACTCACTCGACACTGGCCTAGATTTCAAAAGCAAAGTTTAACCAGATTATTTGGTTCTCGAATTAATTACGTTTGAAAAGCCTGTTTCTTTTTTGGTACATATTTTTTTATTTTTTTAAACGTGTTCACTTAGTGTTCAACCCTTTTTAACGTCCCACTGCTGTATATACTGCTACTATGCATAATCCACCATGCTGGTTAAGTGCGGGTTGGCGGATTTCACATGTCTTACGAAAACTTGCTAGATTCTCGCAGACATGGAGGTTTCCTTACGATGTTTTCTTTCATCGTAAGAAAAGTGGTAATTATGTTGCAAATGATTCCTACATAAAAATATCATAGGTGCGAGACGCGGGATTAAAACCCGTTTTACTTGGTTTTCCAAGCAAGCGCATTTAAGCGCGCCACTGGGCTACCACTATCTTTTGAACGTGTTCAATGTTTGGACTAAATAATGAAAATATTTTAAGTATCATCATAGGCGAATAAATAAATAGATAGAAATATTAAATACAGAAATAACAAATGTCTTAAAAATAAATTAGTATATTTATTTTATCACATTAGGTGATATACCTATTATATTTGTATTGTTTTGCGTAGAAATGAATTTAGTAAGATAATAATAATAATACTATAAACACTGGAGTTTAATTATCAATCAAATCTGTAAGGTTTTCCAAAGAAAATTTGAGGCTTTCATAATTTGTAAAATTAATGAAAATTTACCTTCCGCTAACAATTTTTAATTAAAATTTAACTTTTCAAATAACAAACACAAATATCTCTATAAGAATAGTGAAAGAAAAATAAAACGTGGAATCGGATTTTGAAAGTTAAATAAAACGGAGCATGGATTCGTTCAGAAATCTTCATTGCACGAGGATACGAAAATACAAAGCAAACAGGGGAATTACCTAGCTCTATGCAAATATTGACGGATGACCCTACATCCGACCCTGACTTAACCTTTTTTTTCGTTTACTTTATGTGAAGTTGAGAGAGAATTTGACTGAGCACCGCAATGGGAAATTATTTTCAAAGACCTAGCGAAATGGGATGTTGTGGACATAAATAGAAGTACGAAGTACAATTCATATTTAAAAGTAATTTAAATGTTTGAGGTAAATGTATGTATATAAGAAAAATAATATTCAACTAACACTTTATTCCTTATGGAAGGAATACAGCAAATAAAATATATGATGAATTTCAGCCATTTTTTTTCTAACTTTTTTTCACTTTACGAGTACTTCAATCAAAGCGAATAGATAATCATGTTCGTAGATAAGTGTTTTATTGATATTTTTTTTAGTTAAATCATAAAGTTAGGCTGATGGTATTAAAAGCCTGTCCGATAATAGGTTTGGATCTAGTTTAATAATTTAAGCTCCACTATCAATTATCTCACTAATTTCAGCCCTTTTTAACATCCCACTGCTGGGCACGGGCCTCCCTTCAATACAATGGGGATCAGGTCATAGTCCACCACGCTGACCAAGTGCCGGTTGGCGGACTTTACATGTCTTTTGAAAACTTGCTAGATTCTCTCAGACATGCACGTTTCCTCACTATGTTACATTCGCCGTAAGGCAAATGGTAAACATCAGAAATGATTCACACATAAAATTATTAGATGATCGAGACCTGGGATTTGAACCCGATTGACTCGGTTTTCAAGCTAGCACGCTACTACATGCATGAATTCGGAAATAAATTATCAAAAATAGTTAAAGAAAATTTTTAATAGAACTATACAAAAGATCTTACCCAAAGGATTATGTTAATTTGGGGTCCAAATATTATTTCGAGCTCATTTCAAATAATTTCCGCTCAGTCCAAATGTATAATGGAACAACTTTAAATCTACTTAACTGCGTCTGTTATCCCATATGTTCTCCAGTAATGCTCTAATCTTCCCTTAGGGTCCTCTCATACTTAGCCTGTTAAAACAAACTTTGCTTTAATGTTAAGTTTTTTTTTATTTCATTCATTCCATCAATATCATGGTAACACTTTTTTAAAAGTACTAAATGTATATTAATTCTATTGCCTCGTTAGTTTTGTGGCTGTACAGCCGCAGATCTAAAGGTACTGAGTTTGAGTCCCGTGTCTGGCCAAGTATACCTATTGGTTTTTTTGTAAGAAACTCTCAGTATAGCCCTGAGTTGGGAAGTTGGCGATGCTATACCCCCGTGCTTCGGGGAACGCGTAAATCTATCGGTCCTGTATTTCCCACAGGTTGTGTTAAATTATCGTCCGACTGTAGTTTGGAAATGAAAAGAATAAAGAGTGTATATATGCTTGCGCGCCTTTTTTATATCTTGGCCACTAGCTTCAATTTCTATAATGATTTTTTTTTGTTTATAGGTTATCAGTTAATTGTTAATGACTTTGAAAATAATGATGTTTTTATTAGTAATTATTGCTCAAAACAAGATTTAATTATAATCTTATACTAATATTATAAAGAGGCGAAGTTTGTGATTTTGTGATTTTGTGAGCTTGTGACGTTGTAGGGGGTAATTTCTGAATCTACTAAATCGATTTAAATGAAATTTGGTAGAAAGATAGTTTGAGACCTTTTTTTTTTTTTTTTAACGTTGGGAAATGCATTTACGCACGACGTGTGGGACTCACCGGCGTAATACAGCCAGTACTACCCACTAAAACCCAACAAAACCTTCCCCCGTCTTAATGGGGCGTCGCAGGATCGCTTACGCATTCAACTACGACGCCCCGACGGCAGTTCTGCCAAAGCATACCACCACAACCATGGGGTTGCTCCAAGGTCCACTCTGCTATCAGAGAAGTACCAGGAGCAACCCGCAAGGTACACCGCCCCCGGAAGAGGGTCACCTCCCACCGCCCACCGAAGTGGGCAACCTCCCTGTGCGTTTCTTAGCTTCGCTACTACTACTGAGCCCCCCCACCACGACAAGGTGAACGCACGTTGGGGGGGATAGTTTGAGACCCTGGGAAGGACATAGGTTACTTTTTATTTTTTTATTTTTTATCCCGGAAATCATCTCTTAAGGGGGTGAAAATGGGGATGACAGTTTGTATGAGGAATCAAGCTAGGGACGAACCCGAGTGAAGCGAGGGTGAGTTGCTAGTTAATTAATAGACTTATACTATATA